CTGATTGGGGATTTGAGTTTATCTTCCTTTCCAGCTGTTTCATGAGCTTAGAAAAATTATACTAAATAACATTTTAAAACTCCACTGCTGCACTTGAGGGCAAAGGAGGACTTTGGTATCTGCTTATCTGGGTGGTGCATGGCTGTGAGTGTGGTCCAGCCTGGAAATCCAAGTCCTCCCACAACCAAGGGAGCTGGCCCCATTCAGAGATGCCAAAGCCAATTAAAACAAAAGTAGGTGCTGAGCATTTTTGCAAACCAGATGTCTCAAACAACCTCTTGGCCATAGAGGCCTGCGACCTGTAGGCTGTTTGAAATCTTGAAATCTTGGTTTTCTCCTCTCAGCCTCGTTTTCCCGCCTTTGTAAAACACTGCTAATAATACATCCTCACCCACGGAGGAGGTCGCTGAGAATTCATTAGCTGGTATTTGTAAAGCACTTTGAAAATGCAAAGCCAGTGCATTATTCCTACTCTTCTGGATGCTTTCCATGTTATTAAAATCAGGATTTCAGAAAGGCTTATCTGGGATCAAAACAGCATCCCAAACTTGAAAGGAAGCAAGACTGTTAAACCATCAACTGTCGCCTCCCCCTCCAGCCAGATGTTAAGCCCTAAAGAACTGAAGTGGCACAAGGAATTACTTTCCCAAGTTCCCCCAGCTGGGCTGACAGGCCTTGATCAATGGTTTTCTCCACGGTGAGGGCTATGCAGATGGTCTGCCCAGAGCAAGGTTTCTGTGCAGTACAAAGGGAAGTCAAACACCATTTCTAATTCAGCTTGTAGCATGGCACACTTCCTTTATCCTGAGCCTGAATGCCCTGAATGGGAGAGCGGTGTGGGAAACTGGAGGGAACTCCACACTCACCACGGCTGTGGGGCTCTGAGACACCACTGTCCCCAAACCACATCTGCCTGTGACAGGCAGGGGGGAAAGGAGTGACAGATTGAAAAATCAGATTATAAAACCTGCATGGAGGGAAAGCAAACCACGAGGAAAAAAGAAAAAAAAAAAGGGAAGGAAGCTGTGAAGGCAGGCAGAAATTGCACCAGCCAAGCAGCAGGACAGGGAGGAAGTTAGGGAAGGGTTAGGAGGAAATGTAGGGAAGGGTTAGGAGGAAATGTAGGGAAGGGTTAGGAGGAAAAGCAGGGAAGGGCTGGGAGGAAATGACAGGGAAAGGAGCTGCAGAGCAGAGTCTTCCTCATCCACCAGTCAGGCCACAGCCAATTGTCCCGCAGGAGGTGGCAGAGGTGGGTCAGATTGCACTGAGAATTCTGAGCCACATCCCCTGTTTGCCTCTTTAACTCCCCAATCTCTTTAATATGTCCCAGGAAATGCAGCAAATCCTGTGGACCATGAGGGTATTGTGAGAGTTTTGTACGACCCATGTGGAGCTATGAGAGCTGAGAAAACTCAGTCAAGTGTTATACCAGCAATACCAGGTGGAGAAAAGAAATGGGAAACAACAGATCTGATTGTTGTTTTGGTATTTGGCAGGAGAAAATTCAAATTTTCATTAGGTTTTGATACATTCTGAGGTAGGTGTGGAGGTAATTTGTATTTACAAGTTTACAGAGATCAGGAAATAGCTCCAGAGATACGAAATCTGCAAAGCAAATCTTGGAGTCCAAATTCTCTGTTGGCCCCAGTGTGGATCCCAGTGAGGCCTTTGGGATTGGACTCATTTTATTTTCCACCTCAGGACGCTCTGCAGGACTCAGCACTGGCTAAATATCCCACATTTTGCTGTCTTTCCTGTCCCCAGTTCATCCCTGCCCCTGCTCCCCTTTCTGAATGAGTTACCAACACAGGGCTGGGGAAGTTTGCCTTCTCCTACTCCAGTGTCCCACACCGTTCCTTAACCACGTTCCCTCCTGTCACAAAGGAAGTGTGCCCGACTACAAACCACATTAGCAACGCTGCTTGGCTCTGCTTTGTGTTCAGTGGGAAACCCTGCTCCCCAAAGGCCATCTGGGCAGCAGGGGCTGGGAGGGAAGCAGAGGGAGCAGGGAGCATCTCTCCATCTCTTCTGGGAAAGCAGCAGCATCCTTAAGGCTTTCTAAAGGGCTAACATCTGGCAAGGATTCTGTCGATGCCCTGTTTCAAACATCCAGCTCCAGTATTTTGGGATCCTAATGAGCTTTCTGTCCAGCAGTGTGTGTGTTTGGAGTAGGAGATGTGTAATTCCGAATTCATTCTTCTTAGTGTAAAGTCCACAGACTCTGCAAAACTTATAATAGGGAGAAATTTTTGTTACTACTTTATTTAGGATTTCCAGCCAAAGCAGAACATCTATTTTGGGTTATTGAGCATCTAATTTGAATAACTCTTCCAACTAGGTCAGTAATTGACTAATTTTTCCCCTCAGAGCTTGTGCAACCAAAGAGAAAAAAAAAAAAGCTGTCTTAAATACATGTTTGTATTTCAAATTCCTTAAAATTTGTGTGTGACACAGAGCAAGGATGTAGGAACCTCAATGGGTTTCCCACCCAGGAGAGATTTTGCTACGTTCACCTCCCAATAATACATGGAATATTGTAATTCTTATCACACCCAGAGAGGCTTCCAGCCTCTCCAGCAAAAGTGGAATGCCACAGAGGATTATTTTGCATTCAGCCTCCTCAGGTGCAAGCTCTGGGTCAGTTTGGATGCTGGTGGAGAGGAAATTCTGAGCAGTGACCCCTTGACTGTGCCAGTGCACAACCACTCCCAAGAGCAAGGAGGGTGAGGTTGACACGACTGTTCCCATGGAATTAATGTTTTTATCTGGGTGTTGAGTGGAGAATCAGAGGAAAGAGGGAAACAGCAATTGTCTCTAGCAAAACTTCCCTGCCCATCACAGGGCTGGCACCTTTGTTTTTCCTGTGCTCAGTTAATGAGCTGGAGAAACAAGTCCCAGCTTCTGAGTTTCTGTTTCAGGGAATGTCCCCGAGAGGGACGCACAGAGGGCAAGATGGGTTTCAGAGGTGGCATTACATGGGCTCAGAGATAATCCACAGGCTTTGAGGAGAACATGTGAAACGGTGTCACAAAAGCTTTCCCACAACTTGACATAAAAGACCCGGAGCTCAACAGCTGCTGCTCTGTGCCGAGAGAAGGGAGCCCATTCAGGGCAGCACAATAGGGATGGAAAAGCAGAGCCTGGAAGGGGTCATTGGAGCCTTACCTGGTGCACCAATAATGAGCTGCAGAGGGAGGGAGAAACGCGTCCCTGTGCTCTGGGGCTGTGTGTGCACATTAAAGGCCCTGTGTGACCACACACACACTTTAATGTAAAGGTGAACACACCTACACGTATATTAATGTGAATAAAACTGCTATTTACTCACTACAGTAAGTGCTCCACAAACATAAACCCTGACATTACTTGACGGATAAATTGCTGGCAGGTCTGGTTCAAGTTTTCCAGCAGGAATCCCTGGCTGTGTTTTTATGACTGTCAGCTCTCCCAGCTGCAGGCACCTCCTGAGCGCATCAAACACAGCAACTGGCCCAGGGGAGAATAATGAGGAATCAGGAATTTGATTTCTGATACGTTTATGAGGATATAAATATCTTCTGCACCCAGTTTTCCCTTGTTTATAGACTAAATTAAAATAATTAGAGAAAAATGTGTTTTGGGGATGAAGTAAGAGGAAGCATGTGATACTGAACTGATTCTGAAACAATCCCAAGACCCTTCTCCACAAGTGTTTGTCTTGCAGGTATCTGGAAACAGAAACATAAGGCGCTTATGAGAGTTTTCTAAAGGGCTGCATAAGGTTCTGAGGGAAGGGAATGTTGGGAATATTAATCCACAAACATCAGAGGTTTATGTCCAAAAAGGAAACAGAGGAGTCCTTTTACTTTATTCAAATTAAGGGAGAAGCCATGGGGCATTCCCCTGGGGTCTCTCAAATTTTTGGAGGACACAGCCTCCTTTTTATCCCAATTTCCCAGCCACATTTCCCTTCTCTCTTTCCCCATTGGCTGAGGTACTTGAGAGGTACAGACTTCCTGATATGCCTGATACCAAAGATTTCCCTCTAATGTATAACATAACACATATAACACATTCTAACCTAGCACATATAATATTAATTTTAATATTTGCAAAAAGCCAATCAAAAAATAGGCATTTTGACATAACATTTATAACACATTTTAACATAACACATATAACACATTATGTAATATTAATTTTATAATTTGCGAAAAGCCAATCATAAAATATGCATTAATAATACCATAACACATTCTAATATAACACATATAATATTCATTTTAATATTTCCCAAAAGCACATATAACACATTATATAATATTCATTTTAATATTTAGGAAAAACCAATCATAAAATATGCATTTTAACATAACACATATGACGCATTATAACATATAACATTAATTTTAATACTTGTGAAAAGCCAATAATAAAATATGCATTTTAACATAACACATATGACGCATTATAACATTAATTTTAATATTTGGGAAAAGCCAGTCATAAACCACACATTTTAACACAATACATGTAACACATTCTAACATAACACATATAACATTCATTTTAATATTTGGGAAAAGCCAATCATTTTTCTCAGCCAGGAGCTGCTGGCGTGTGCCCTGCTCCTGCTGCAGCGTGTGCCTGGAGCATCCTTCCCGCCATGGGCAGCTGACCTCCTCCTGCCTCCTCCTCCTCCTCCTCCTTCCTCCTCCCGCCTGTGACCCCCGGGCTGCCCCTGGAATGCTATTGATCCCGGGCATTAGTCAGCAGCCTTTCCCGTGGAAGGGCAGCTCTTTCCCAGCTCCTGACACGTAAGTCTGATGCCAGCCCTTGAGGGAGCACGCCGTGCCCACCTGCTCCTCGGGGAGCAGGTCATTATCCGCGGCCTATTCAGTGCCACTGGAGCATGCAGGAATAGCTGCTTCTCCCATTGTGCTGCCCGTGGCCCGGATTGGCTGGAGAGTGTGGGAAACACCGCCGAGCCTCAGACCCACACGCTTGGATGGTATAAATATCGGCTGCAGGCGGCTTCCAGCAGCACGCTCCTCCCGGATTCCACCCCAAGAACTCTCTGCTCAGGACGGATGGCTCCCAGCGCTGTTTTCCTGGAGCCCGACAACCTGCTGACACCGAAGGAGAAAAACAAAGTAAGTGCAGGCAGGGCAGAGTTTATTCCAGCTGGGACCTCGCCTCGCTCTGTTGAGGGGCAGTGGTGGGCAACAAGCAGCTCTGCAGAGTGTCAGGTTTCTCTTTTCCTTTCATAACGGGTTTCTCTTTTCCTTTGCTTTTTACAGCTGAGGAAGCCGGTGGTGGAGAAAATGCGCCGGGACCGGATTAACAGCAGCATCGAGCAGCTGAAGCTGCTCCTGGAGAAGGAGTTCCAGAGGCACCAGCCCAACTCCAAGCTGGAGAAAGCCGACATCCTGGAGATGACTGTCAGCTACCTGAAGCAGCAGAGCCAGCTGCAGATGAAGAGTGAGTATTGAGTTTTCTTTCAGTCTCCATTTTACTGCAAATCTGTGACTCTTGTATGACTCTCGAGACATGGGCAGCTGTTCTAAACTATTCTTTCTTCCCTCTCCCTCTTTTTTTTCCCTTCTCCAGCTGCAGGATCCTTCCATAAAAGCTCCCAGTTTGACTTCAGAGAGGGCTACTCCAGGTGCTTGCAAGAAGCTTTCTATTTCCTCTCTCTCCACAAAGTCCGAACTGAAACACAGACCAAACTTTTAAGCCACTTCCAGAAGAGCCAGTCAGCTGCTCCAGAGGTCTCCTTCTCCCCTGGGAGCGCCAGTGCCCTGAAACAAGTGTCTCCAAAGGACAGCAGCCCTCTCTGGAGGCCCTGGTAGTCAGAGGAGTCCTCGCTGCACGGACCTGTGACAGTCCAGAGGAAGGATCTGACTGCATCTGATAGTCCAGCTCTGATCCTCTCTCCCGTAGGGAATTTTATTTCCCCCCCGTGTTTTATTTATGTACGAGAGAATGCCATGCTTTTGACTTTTTTGGGATCCCCTGGCAAAAGCTGAGGTGTTCTGTTTAGTGTTGAAGCTGTGTAGGCACTGGTGCAGTGCTGCCCAGGCAGGGGCAACGTCTTCAGAATGAAGGAGGGTTTGTAAATGTTACACTTGTGATGGACAGGACTTGCTGTAGGAGATTTTCTCTACTATTCCCTGTAAGAGCCATCAGCTTTGCTCTGGCTTGACTGACAACTCTGGTTGGCTCAGTCACACCAGAGGATAAATTTATTCCCTTTAACACTTGGTTAAAGTATTTCCCTCTGTTTGCTTATCAGCTGTGCAGCATCAAAAACGGGTTTGGTTTTGGTTTGGATCTCTCCCCCATGGCCCTTTCATAGTCCTGTATATACAGTGTGAGGGATGACCAGGAGTTAGGAAACTATGTGGAATATTTCTACTATCTGATGCTTTTTTCAATTTAGAAAAAGAGTATGTTATTGCTTTATGTTAAAGAAAAGTAGTAGGTAACAGGCTTGATTTGTCAATGTTATACATTTTGGGTGTAAGCTATGCTTTTTTTAGCATTTTCATTATAATAATGATCTTTTATCTGTATTGAGTGGTTGAATTCCTGGTGGATGATGTTTCTCCCAGTGCTGGGACTGCCCTATGGCTCACCTGCATACTGTGTATGCATCTCTGTGTGTGTAGAGAGCAATAAAATGCATTTGTGTGCAACTTCTGTGTGGGTCTCTCCATCTGAAGGATGTGCAGCCGCTTGCACCCCTGAGAAAGGTTTTAATTCTGAAGAAATGGATTTTTCATAAAGCTCTGTATATTTATATATTTATATATATATAAATATATATATATATTCTGTATATTTTTGTGAATCCCACCATGTGAGTCACCCCAAACATCAAGGAGTGCTCCTGTCACAGATTCCTGCAGAATCCTACAGAGCATTTCCTCAGTCACTGCCCCTCCTGTCCCCAAACCCCTCACCTGAGCAGCCATGTCCTGCACCTGCCCAGAACCTGGCTATTTCCACACCATTTGTTCACAAACTTAGCCCACAAAGCCAAGTTTTGAGGGGTGGGTTTATGCCAGGCTTAGAGGGGCTTCTTCCAGGATTTGAGAGGTTGTGTTTTACCAGGATTTTAGGGCTTGGTTTGCCAGGTCTTGAGGGGTGGGTTTGTGCCAGGTTTAGTGGGGTTTGTACCAGGATTTAAGGGTTTGGTTTTCCAGGCTTTGAGGGGTGGTTTGTGTTAGGTTGAGAGGGGTTTGTACTATAATTTTAAGGCTTGGTTTGCCAGGTTTTGAGGGGTGGGTTTGTGCCAGGCTTTGAGGGGTTTGTACCAGGATTTGAGGGCTTGGTTTGCCAGGTTTAGAGGGGTGGGTTTGTGCCAGGTTTAGAGGGGTTTTTACTATAATTTTAGGGCTTGGTTTGGCAGGTTTTGAGGGGTGGGTTTGTGTTAGGTTGAGAGGGGTTTGTACCAGGATTCAAGGGCTTGGTTTTCCAGGCTTTGAGGGGTGGGTTTGTGCCAGGCTTTGAGGGGTTGGCTTGCCAGGACTCCGTGGGGTTTGTCAGGTTCTGAGGGGTTTTCTCACATCACACCTGAGGAGCAGAACACTTCCCCAGCTCCACCTCTGACAGCAAGCATGGAAATCCTTGCCTCTGTGGTTCTGCTGGCTGGTGCAGCTGCCCTCACAAATATCTGGCAAAGGAGGAAAAGTTATGTGCCCCATGAGTTTGAAGAACATCACTGTAAAGGGGTAGTTTTGTAAAAACATCCTGAAGAATGGTTTTAGCTCTTCAGCTGAAAATTCCCCTCACTGCTTGTTGGTGGGGCTGTTTCCTTTCCTTTGCAGCAGTGCAGGAGTCAGAGGTATCTCTTTTTGGATAATACATTAAAATCTGATTTGAGAGTGCCCCAGCAGTGGTTCTTGCTCTTAAGAGAGCAGTAGAAGCCTGGCTTTTAGAGTGGTGTAATGGTTTTGGTTTGCCAATTTAAGATTTCCCCAATTTTGAGATTTCTCAACCAAAGAGTAGGATTTATTGATAAAAGCTGACTGTTCAAACTTTGTGTTTTCCTTTGATGTGTCATAAAGCACGGGCAGGTTTTGATGTTAACAAGGAGAAAGGGGATCAAAAACTGCTCCTGTGCAGGAACTTGGTGCCTACCCCAAAGAAACCAGGTCTGAACTGGGCATTGTTTGAGCTGTGACACACAATGGGGATGGTTAAAAAACCCAAACACAACCCTTTTTTTTTTCCTTCCCCTAAATCATCATGAAGAGAAAGGCAGCCTGAAAATGAAAAGGAGGGTTTGCAAAGGAGTTAATGAAATAGCCCAGTGGCATCTTGTGAAGCATCAAAGTCGGCCATAGCTGAGTGATCAAGGCACGGGGAGTGTCACAGGGGCTGCAAACTTTTCCTTTTTACATCCCTTCAGGAGCACTGGGCTGTGTGGAATGCCTGGACTTTTCTTCTTGCCCCATGGACAGTTGACACTTGGTATGCATTAATTATTCTGCTGTTGCTTGTTGGTGGGAAAAAACTGTTTTGGTTTTCTTTTTCCATTTTAAACATTCTGTATAATACACAATGCAGTTTCCAAATGCATTTTTGTACAGATTCTTCAGTTTTTAGGAGAAAAGGAGATATTGCTGGGAAAAGGAATTGTGCACAGCAAGAACCATGTAGCTTTTAGTAAAGAAAGTTATTATTCTCTGTGTCCACTGTGTCTAAAAATAAAGTTTTTGCTGAAGAAAACACATCCTCTTTGTGTAAGAACTTTCCTGGTACCTGCAGAAGTGAAAACTCTGAGTTATGTGGCTCTTGGCTTTATCTTAAGGAAAAGGATTATTCTGGAAGAGCATCCCTGTGAATGTTTTTAGGCAAGAATTTGGTAAGGATAGAAATGCTTTAGTTATCAGAATTGTCTATAAAATGAGATGTGGAAGAATCTGGAGAGGCACAGAGAAGGTCCTGAATGGGTGAGCTGGGACATCTGGGAGGTGACATGCACATGACCTTGAGGAATGGAAAAATGGGAAATGTTAGCTTTTTTCTCAAGGAAAATATGATAGACAACTTCTTAATTTTTTTTTTTTAAACTGTGTTAGGTTTTTTCAGCAGAATTAGTTCTGAGTGTTTTTGCAGAGTAATGTGATGTTTCAGAAACTGTGGTTTGTAGGAATGGCTGTGCAAAACCACAGCTGCTGTAGGTGAGCTGGGAGCCCTGCACAGCCAGGGAGAGAGGTGCAGCATCAACCAGGATCAGCAATCTGCCAACTAAAAATGAATTTTTTTGCAGGATTTGATGTCTGCACCAGTTGTGGTTCCATGGAGCCTGAAAGCTACTACTGCTGGATGTGAATTTTGGTCTTTTAGGCGCTGGAGCAGGATTTGTCACCAGGTGGCAGCATGGGAGAAGGAATTCAGGGCCCTTTCCTGGGTGTTTGGAGCCGGTCCCTCATCTCCAGTTTGAGTGTGGGCACAGCACCAGGGTCGGGGGGGCTGCAAGGGGAGGTTGGAGCCCTTGGCACTGACACAAACTGGCAGCTGGGAGTGTTCTGCAGGTGGGAGATGGGATAAACTTACAGGAAAAAAATAGAGGAACTTCCATGTGCTGTGGTGGTCACTTGGATTTAACCCTGCCAGGCACATTTTAGTTATCCCTTTAACAGCTGCGTGTGCCAGAGCCTTTAGTGGTCCATCTCTAGGGCTCAGTGGTTTTGCAGAGTCACACAAGCACTTACTGCCTTGTTGTCAAGTCATTCCTGTGCTAGAAAGAAAAGCCTTTGCTGGAATAATATTCAAAACTCACTATTAAATGTTGGAAGTTTAAGATATTCTCATTATAGCAAGACGCTTACCAAGGAAAGCTCCCCATACTTCTTCATAGGGAAATCCTTGCTGAATTCACCACCATGATTTTTTTCTTTTAAATTTTATTAAAAATTAATACATGTTACATTTTTAAGTGTAAATACTGAAAAATAGCCTATGGCAAAATAAAAAGGCACAGGATTAAAACCAGCTTAATTGTTTCCATGGATACATGTCTGCTATTTGGCAAAAGGTATTTTATACACTTTCTACAAGAATAAGCATCATTTTAAATATATCTCTGAAGGGTGGGACCCTGTAATTTAACCATGAAGACAGAACTTGTACTCCTAAAATGTGATAATTGTAGAGATGCCTCACTTGAAGGGGGTTCTTTGGAGCAGAGGAACTCAAGTGCAGGAGGAGAGTGCGACAGGCATCTTGACATAGAGCTCACTGTCACGACAAATAGCAACCCATGAACAACAAAGCAGTGATCAAAGTGCAGGGGCACAGACAGCACGAGAGTTTACACCAGCTCTAACCTGATCTGGGGAAAAATGCACCAGAAATGGAACCAGAATGGAGCAGGGGAACGTCTCAGACAGCATCGCTGAGCCCCAGAAAGCGGAGCTGGCTTATTAAAATTATTATTCCTTTCTGAAAAATAGATTTGTGGCTGCTTGTTGGTTTTTCGTGTAAGAATTAGTCCTTGTAACCCTGAAGCAGTGTCTTAGTAACAGTCAGGATGTCATTGGAAACAGTCGTTGAGCCTGGGAACGCAGCGTGGCCTCCGGCACAGCCGCCAGCCCCGGGCTCCATCCCCGTGGTCCCTGCGTGCTTCCCAGTGGCACTGGGACAGCTGAGTGCTTCCCTGGCTCCCACTGCAGCAGCTGCCCCGGCAGCACTGCCAGGGGCTGAGCACAACGCCGGGCACATCCCTGCCACCAGCTGTTTGTGGTGTCACCAGTGTCCATCCTTGGTCACCACACGCGGCACTTCCCTGCGGGGTGCATGGCCGTGCCCTTCTGGCAGCGGAACACCTCGGAGAAGGCTTCAAAGTTCTGCAGCGAGCCCATCACCCTGAGCAAAGAGAAGGGACTCATTTACGTGGAAATTGCTGTTCTGGGGAGCAGAAAGTGGTTTGGAGCCTCAGAACTTGGTTGCAGTTTAGAGTATGGGATGATTTAGGAAATATAGGTACTATGAGGAATGAAATGCCAGAACAGAGGGGGTTTGGTCTGCTCCATCCCCTGTGGATTGGTCAATTCACCTGCAGGTCAGGTATAGGCATGTGCTCTCCAGCAGCGTCCTACAAGCCATGGGAGAAAATCTGGAAATCACTTGGGAGTTATCTTGTGTGTCATCAGACTCTCCTGTGCTACCCCCCTCAAGGGGTACAATGAAGTGAGTTGTGAGTTAGTAAATGAGTAAAACCCACCTGTACTTCAGAGGGCTGTGGACATCTGTCTTTATGGACTGACTGGCATATTCTGGTCTGTAGGAACCACACCAAACCTGCACAGGGAGATTCATCATTAGTGGGTCAGTGCTGGGAATTCATTGGGAGCCTCTCAGTGGCTCTCCTAAGAACCATCCCAGTTTGCCATGATATCATTGGAGTATTTTTATAGAGAGGCAGAATAGATGCAATTATTTATTAATTAGCTTTTGTTTTATCAAGATCTGGTGCTCTGGGACAGATCTGTCTGCCCTTGAGTTCCCCCAGGTGTTTGCTCCAGCAAAGTCCAAGGGCCTGAGGTACAACCCTGTGTGTTCTCACCTGGGCAAAGTTGAGGAAGAAAAGTTGTTTGTGGGACATGTTCAGTCCAGGCAGCTTGGGCTCCTTCCCTTCCTGTTCCAGCCACTTCAAGTAGGCCTGGAAATGATCACAGATCAACTC